ATATATATATATATATATATATATATATATGTATATATATATATATATATATATATATATATATATATATATATATATATATATATATATATATATACACATACATACACACATAAATATTCTTGCCAATAACATCAGCATGAAACTTCTCACGATACCCTTCCCCGCAGAGCTCCCTTCCCCTCTCACCTCCGACGCGGCTGCCCGGCGGAGTGACTGCAGGAAGTACTGGCGCGTGAGGCCGCTGCTCCGGAGGCGCCCTACGACCTGGCTGATTTTCTCCTTGAGCGGCGAGTGCTTCTGGACGGCCAGGGCGATGCTGTAGGGCGCGAAGCACTCCTGGGGCACGGGAAGGAGAGGTCATTTTCTTGAATGAATTTGGTTTGGCACGTTGATGGATGGATAGATAGGTTGGTACATGGATAGATGGATGGCTAGGTTAGTAGATGGGTGGATGGATGGATAGGTAGATAGGATGGATATGTTAGTAGCTGGATGGATAGGTTGGTATTTAGATAGACTGGTAGATGGATCGGTGGTAGATAGATTGTAGTTTGATTGATAGATAAGTAGTATAGTAGATCGATAGATGGACTAATTGTTGAAGTAGATATATTGACAGATTGTTCAATATTTGATTGGATACTTTTCCAGAGAGGTAACTAAAACATAGCTAGATTGGTGATGAACATGCTGACAACTTGAAGCATTGATAGACTGGCAAATAGATGGAGAGATACATGAACAAACAAATAAATGATCTATCTCAAATGAATAGAAGAGGGACCAAATACGAATAGATAATGACAAACCATGAGGTTTTTCTTTTCTGTTCTGGAAGGGTATGTGCCTACTTTAACGATTATACGTATAAATTTAAGTCATTTACAGTGTCGTTTTTCAGCATATGCGTTTCATCATCAATTTCATCAGTTAGTTTTCGAATCAACGTTTTTTTTTTCAAGATTCCTTTTCATTTCGCATATTTCAATCATTTTTATTTAATTTTACTAACTGCAAGGGAAATTCGCCATAGTAACGAATTCTAGAAATGGGCTCTTGTGTAGACATACAATCCACCTGACCTTCATAATCCTGACTCCCTGGAGAGTGAGACTGCTAAACTTCGTCGCCCTCACGTACTCGAGGGACCCCCTGTTCTGCAGGTACACGGCGTCCCCAGACACAACCTTCTCCAGGATGTCTTCGGTGGTGCTGTAGCCTTGGTAGCGATCCGTCAGACCCTAGGAGAGGGGAGGAAATGGAGGGAAAGGAGATACAGGATTGGGGGGCAAAGGATGGTTACTTAACAGTGTTGTTAGTGTGACCAAAAAGAAATGAACTAAAATGCAGGCGAAGATAAGCTTCGTTAAGTTAAGTGTTTGTGTTTAAGTATTTGCAGTATATATATATAAATATATATATATATATATATATATATATATATATATATATATATATATATATACATATATATATATGCATATGTATATGTATGTTTATATGTATATATATACATATATATATATATATATATATATATATATATATATATATATATATATATATGTATGTATATATATATATATATATATATATATATATATATATATATATATATATATATATATATATATATATATATATATATATATATATATATATATATATATATATATATATATATATATATATATATATATATATATATGTGTGTGTGTGTGTGTGTGTGTGTGTGTGTGTATGTATATATGTATATGTATATATATGTATGTATATATATATATATATATATATATATATATATATATATATATATATATATATATATATATATACATATACATACATACACACACACACACACACACACACACACACACACACACACACATATATATATATATATATATATATATATATATATATATATAAGAGAGAGAAATATAAAGACTGGCCCATCAAAGTGAGTAATATGTAGGCACACACACATTATAATAAGCTTTAGAAATGTAACCTTAAACCTTATATTTTGTATATAAAGACTCTTTGGGCCCCTTCTTTGGATGCAATACATTTCTAGAAAATTAATGAATTGGTTATTATCACCCTGATCGTGAAGGTCATCGGATTTATCAAGATTACTCCTTTGACAAATTTGTAAAATTGTTGTGGCTTTTGGATCTTTACCGACTGTCTCTTTCTATCCTTCTTCCACCCCCTCTTCCCTCTCCCTCTCATCCTCTCTCCCTTTCCCCATCTCCACATTTTATACCTGTATGAACCTATCATCTGCTTACAGTATCGGAACTCACATGTAATCTGCAGCATATTTCCTATTCTCCATTAGAAACCTGTACATAAACTCCCTGCAGACCATCTAATAAGTGCTAGTAGTTTACATGGTAATTATACCACTGAACATAATGAGAACCAGTGACCCAAAGAATAGAAATATCAGTCGCAGTAGTGAAGAACTAAAAAGGAGAGAGAAGGCAGATACGATTTGGCTCATTTCAATGTAACGTTTACAGTAATGCTAGTGACATCATTAACATAAATAACAAAACAATACATGAAAATCTTCAACAAATTATAAGTTTGATAATGAAGATCAGTGCAGTAATGAGAGTATGGTCACAAAAATAATGCGATAATGGTAATAAAGAAAATGATAGTGACTGTAAGACAAAAGTAACAGCAGTGATGACTCAAAATAACTACTATTTTTTATGGACACAGACTAATAAATCAACGATTATAACCATGGATTATGATTAAGACATAAAAGGATAACAATGTAAAATAAGTAATATAACGTTCTAACAACGGGAATAAGAACAATTGCAGTGATACTAACGGT